AACGCCAGAGCGCCCTCGGCCGCTTGAGGGGCTGAGGGCAGAGTTGTGGCGCCCGCGGCAGCAGCTCCGCGGTGCGCCTCGTGGGGGGCCCGGCTTCCTTGGCCTTGGGCACGGCAGGGCCTTTTGTACTGTTAGGAGCTTTGGTTTAGCGTGTCCCGACATCGGGAAGACAAATGGTAATGTACCGACGCCGCTCCCCTCCCTAGTAATCGCCCTCCTGGGCCCCCTTGGCGGCCCCCGCCAGGGCTGGATTCGCCCCGAGGCTCTGGTCAGAACGCGCCCAAGGTGATGTCTGGGGAGAAGCGGTATGGGTACTGTCGGGAACTTTCGCTTAGCGTGTCGCGCCGCCGGTTCTGGCTCACAGCGCTTCGGCGCGACGCTATCTACGTCCCCGACCCCAAGCGTCAACGCCCCGAGCTCCTCCAATCCCCCGCCCCGCGTAGCTGAGCGGCACACTATCCCGCGTGGCGGAGCGTGTCGGCGGGGCCGCCGCTGCGACACACTATGCAAAACTTCCTACGTAATCCCGACGCAATCGGGTTCAATTTGCCGCGCGAGGCCTTCAGGATTTTCTCGGTAAGGTGCGTCACCTTCGCGAGGTGGGCGAGTGAGAGAGGGATAGAGGCAGGGAGAAAGAGATGATTGAGCCAGCGGGTTGCCAAGCGTGCGCCTTAATTGCATTCGGACGAGCCGCGCCACACCTGTTCGGGTTTAACAGATCAGGGGATGGCATGCGCTGCTGATCCTGCTTCTCCTCGTGTCCCTTCCTCTCGCACTGCCTCCTCCTCCGCCGGCAGTTTCTGCTGCTCCTGTTGCTCTTGCTCCTTTTTCTCCTCTTTGTCCATTTCCTCCTCCTCTCCCTCTCTTCCTCTTCGCCCTCAACCTCCAGCTTCAGCTTCTCCTCCTCCTCCTCCTCCTTCTTCCCCCCTTTCGTTCTCCTATTCGTCCTCCTCTTCCGCCTCCCGCTCCTCTACATTCTCGGCCACCTCCTGGCATTCCTCCTGCTGCTCGCCCTCATCATGCTCCTGCTTCACTGCTCCTTCTGTCCCTGAGGCCTTTCCTGCCCTTTTCGTTGTCCTTCCCCTCCTTCTCGTCCTCCTCGTCTTCGTCCTCGTCCTCTTTCTGAGTCATGTCCAGCTGCCGTCTGGGCTCATTCGCCTGCGGGACAGCTTGTCGTTGAAGAGAAGAAAAGGCCTGCACATTATATTGCCGCCGTGCCGCTTCCCTCTGCGTATCCTCCCCCCCGCAGTTTTAGTTGGTATTGGAGCTGGGAGCAACCCCAGCTCGCGACCCACAAAAGCTGCGCCGACTGCGAGGTGGACGCGCATTCGCACTTCCCTCACCCTCCGCATCGGTACTACCCTCCATGCCCTGTACAGCTGGTGCTTATGGCTGTTATGCACCTCTCCGGGAAATTCACCCAATGCACCCAGAGGCGCGACGAAGCAGAAACCAGAGACCTCAAGTGCCCCTGTGAGTGCATCGTCTTTTTGGGGACAAGTGGCCCGGCGCAGGGAGTTTTCACCCCAAGGACGCAGCGATGCTCCGGCTCCCTCGTCACACCTACAATTGCCCGGCACTGGCAGCGGAACGCGTTCCCTTGCTATGTACCGCACGATTGGGCCAGTGCTTGGGCTCGGACTGTGCGCAGTTGTGTTGGCTCACGTCTCAGTGAACACGCTGCGCAGTCCAAGTGTCGAGATGGCGTTCGTCTCCGTGCATGTCCGAGTCCCAAGGCGCTTGCACGTCATCATCGTCAGGCGTTGTTCGCGCGAGGGTCTTCAACTTGGCCTTTCTGGGAAGTATCTTCATCCTCTCGGTGATCACCTTGTTCTGGTACGTCTGTATCATGCCTGGAGGAACCAGACAGCATCGTGGCATTGATGGCAGGCGCTGCAACACCAGTCGCCAGCCACTGTCCTTGTCACCCGAACGAGAGTCCATCTACCCGTTCCGTCACTGAGTGCAGGACTTGCTCGTATTGAGCGTATGCGCTGCAGGTATGGACGACATCCAACAGCGTGCAACCATCATCTCGAACCTCGGTGGGACTGCTCACGAACTCACTTGTTCTATGGACTGCTCAGATATAAGTTAAGAAGGTTTCGCCAACGGTCAACTGGAAGACGCTGTCACCGACCCTTTCGCGAACCTCGCGACCCAGGTCAGACCACTTGGTGAAGAGTCACGCCTGCAAGCTCGACGCGATTCATTCAAGCTCTTCAGGCGACGCAGCGAGACGCCGACGCGCTGCTCTCGCGGTTCGTTAGATTGCGATTCCGAGCGAGGCACGGGGGAGTTGCGATGCCATGGGAAAGCTACGGATGGCTGCTCCTTCGAGATGTCGGCGTCCATGCAATCCAGTTTCTGACGCCACTGCCTTGCGGCAGCGGATACCCAGCAACAGAGCGCGAGTTCAGCAGTCTGATGACGATGCGCAGGCGCGTTGGCCATGTCATGGAGCTTGCCCCCGACGACATCGCCGGCGCCTTCCGTTCGCCACCATCCTTCGGAGGTTTCTGTTGGCACGACCAACCACGACAGAAAGCTGCGTGATGGGAGCCCAGCAGACCCCTGGCACTTCTTGCCTGGGCTTGACTCCTGGGCCGCGAGTGCCGCCGAACGCCCCTGTGCCGGAGGGGTATCCGCTCGCGCTGGTGTCTCTCGGTCGATTGCCGAGCCGCCGCAGGCGGCGTTCCGTGCCGCCGCGCGGCAACCCGCTGATGAAGCTCAGGCCTATCATGAGTACGCGAGCGGCACTGGCTCCTACGCTAGCTCAGACCTTGGAGGGGCTATCGGCTGTTCGTCATGAGAGTTCAGAGGCCTATCCCCAGCCCAGGTCGAGGCCCAGCTTTCCTGGCATATCAGACACCACAGACGACAGGGGGGCGCCATATGAACAATCCCACCATAAAACTCAAACAATATATCAAGCGGAATGGGCGCGCGTTTTTGGGCAATGCAAAGGCCAATGCAAGGGGGGGCTCAGAGGTGCAGCTTCCTGGCCCAGCTGACCGACGACCAGGTAGTCGCCGTCTTCTACGGAGGCCATAGCAAAGGCAAAGGACAGCGGCCCAACGGCGAAGGCAAGGGCCGCGCGAAGAATCCACGAGGCTACGACGGGCAGGTGATGAAGTGCAGCATCTGCGGCTCGGTGTTCCACATCAGGACTGAATGCCTGCAGGCCGGCTCTGGGAGCTCAGGTGCCCGCGGGGGTGGCCCGAGTCTCGGTGGCAACGTCGATTTGGGGCCTATTGGCGACGCCCCAGATGCCGGGCCCTTCGTCGGCATGTCAGGATATGCCATCATGGTCGCCGAATCTCCTCCACCGCCGCAGCCTGCTTCCGAGTCATCCCGCAGCCTTTGGCCACGCGTGCGCCGTCGCGCCCGCTGTGCAACCTACGCCTCATGTGCTTATGTTGCCACTCCTTCGACAGGGGCCCAGCTACCTGTGCTTCCTCCTTTTCCTGGCTCTGCTCCTGCAGCCTCAGGACTGGCGGCGTCAGCGCGTCGGTCCAGCTCAGGGGCCTGCGCCGGTCCACAGGCGCAGGCTCCGCGAGGCCCTTGCGAAATCGCATTGATTGAGCGACAGTTCAGCGCGGGGGCCTCGATCCAGCTGGCCGGGCAACTCGCGGTCCCCGACGACCAGCGAGCCAGCATTCCACACCTAGGCGGTTTCTGCCAGCTCGCTAGGTTTCGGGGGGGCCAGCTTGAGCGGGCCGCCTGTCCTTTTCTGAGCGCCGAGCCGAGTTTGCGAGCGCCTCGCCGAAGTTGCCGATTACCGTCCTGGGAGCGAGCACAGCGCGCGACATAGTCGCCCCTGAGGTTGCAGCGCGACCCGCCGCCCTGGCCGGCCACGAGTCCGCCGCGACGCTCAGATGGTATAAATGCCGAGCTCACTGCCGCGGCCTGGCCCGGCATATGATAACTTCGCCGTGGTTGGGCCGCCTGGGCCGCCAACTGCTGCTCCGCCGCCGTTGCCCAAGGACCTGCGAGCTGAATCGCAACTTGCTGGCATGAGGGTGGACGAAGACGCCGTGTGTGGCATCTGCTTGGGCGAGTACCTGAACTTAGACCTGGTTCTCATCCTGCAGCGCGCCGCCAATTCCATCGGCGTCGCGCAGGCGCCCAGGCCGCCGCGAGCCTCAACGAGCTCCTGGGTCAGGAACGTCGAGTTGCGAGAGCTAGTCCTCCCTGGGGGCAGCAGATCCAGCGGCGTGCAGGCGCGGTCCGCATCCCGCTTCAGACGGCGCCAAGCGGGCGTCCAGTCATGGTCAGCGACGACTTCGAGCGGGCGGTGCAGACGCCCAGCGGATTTCCAGACAGCTGCGCGCAGCTGCTGTCGACCACGTCGACGAGACGGAAACGACAAAGGACAACGCGCCGTCGGCAGCTGCTGTCTCCACGGCGGTGGCTGAGCAGCGGCCTGCCCTCGGCTCTCAATGGGTCGATGGCCCCGCGCGGGTCGCCCTGGCTCTGCTCGCCAAGGAACCGTCGTGCACTGAACGTGCTCGCGTGCGTGGGCTTGTGCCCGCCATGGCGCGAGCCCTTGGGCGGCGCGCTTGGACCTTTTGCGCGATGCGCCCTAGTGCTCCTCTCTGATCGCTCCCCAGTCCCCAGTCTTTCTCAGCGAAATCGCGCGGCGTCGGTGCGGACTGGTCTGGATCATGATGCCGCCTTTGCGTATTTATGGTGGCAGCCAGTACGAGCGCGCCCGCGACCTCATGCAATTGCCGAGCGTGCGCAACTGTATACCATGCGCAGGCGTGGACTTTGCTGGCGAATTTGACATTGCGTTTGCCGCGGTCACGTCCCCAGCTGTAGGCATGAGACTGGTCGCCAGCATGCCCTGCCGCCTGGGGCTCGCACTGGAACCGCGTATTCCGTCGCCGCCCAATGCGGCTTTCCAGATCATGATGACGCTCAAGCGTGGGTGCGCGCCCCCCCGTGTCACTGTGCGCCAGGCTAGCTGGGCTCCTTCACCTGGCCACGACGACGTTTTCACGCCGCGCGAAGGTCGCGCATCCGAAGCAGCATGCTTACATGCTAAGCGAATCAGGGAGATGCGCTTCTAGAACTTCTCATGCCACTGGTGAGACATTCTAGATTGGACGATGCAGCGGTGGCTGCCCAGTCCGAATCCATGGGCGAGCCCTCAGACAGCGCAGCTGCTCTGCTCGCCAGTGCCCAGCGCGCTCGACCCCGGGCTGTTCGTCAGCCCGACAAGCCGGATTCGCATAGGAACACGGCTTAAAGCAACAACGCCAATGGGAACAATGCCAACAACAAACAATATCGAACCTATTCAGAATGACGACAATGATAACGACGGCCCTGATCGAGCGGCTACCATCAGTTCAAGCGCGACGCCGACTGGCGTCTACTCGGCCAGCCATGTAGACTAGAGCACCGTGACCTGCGTTTATGTGCTGCTCAGCATTGACTTCTTTTTCACCACGCGAACCAACTACCTGATTGCGGCGTTGCGTCTGGCATCCACTCGGGTCACGCGCGTGAGCCCCGCGCGTGACCCAGGCGGCTGCCTCGCCGACGCCTCCAAGCGGCAGCTCAAGTCGATGGCGCGCGAAGTCATGCCTTTCGACTGGGCGGGCAGAGCCACCGTGCGCGCCGCCGCCCCCGCGACCGCCCTAGCCTGTTTCAACGTCGGAATCCAAATGAGCCAAGGGGCGCAATCTGCAGGGTCGCGTGCCCCTCAACCGCTGAAATGTTGTTGAGGACAATGTCTACCAGATCGGCGGCGATCAATCAGGACTGGGCGCAGTCGAGCAGTTGGCGCAGCTGGCGCAATACGCGCGTGCAGCGCGCACCAGCGTG